GAAAGAGGTTTTGAGATGGGACTAGTCAGTATTTTCTTGACCTTTTTGAACTAAATGCATTGTCTTGGTCTCAAGGATTTGTTCCATTTGGTGGGGTGCTTTTTAAATAAAAGATAGCTAATGTGGGATCTGGGGAATGGCCTTGGTCTTAATGGTTTTAAACCCAAATAATAGAGTAACACAGGGCTGTATTTAGAACAAAATTCAGTATAGATTTTATATCCATATGCTATACAAGTTGAATGAGAGCCCCTAATACAATTGTGTTGTAATGTTTCCTGAAGATTTTTAAATGCTTCTAAGAGCTAGCTAATATTATTCCAGAGCAACTTTTTCCTTTTAAAGATTTTTTTAAAATTCAAAGTCTTAGATTTTTATGCCACGGCAAAATAAAATTGTGAGCAAACAATTAAAGATCCGCACTTAAACTAGTTCTCTGCTCTTAGTGGAAAGTGCGTGCACATATGATGATGGAATTCTTTTCAGTGCTAAAAACAATTTGTCAGGGAAAAGTAAGTTTCAGTGCATGTTATAAAGACGATGTGCACTGTGATAGCAAAATGAAGTTCTGTTTTCTGTCATATTTTAAAGACAGTCCTATATCATTTCTCTGGGGAACAAGACCCTAAATTCTTCTCATTATCTAATGGGACCTTTATTTTTTAATGCAAAGAGATAATCTGGCATGGAGTAAAAGGTATGCAACAGTAATGCTGTGTAAATAGTTCCTGAAATTTTCATAGTAGTACAGTTCAACAACAAACCGAAAGTGTGGCTTTTCTGTTCAGATCCAGTTGTAAAATTAGAACCTATTCTAGGTGGCCGCCATTGTAAACTGTTTCCCTGTCCCATCCCTCTGGAGACTGAGAATCCAATCTAAGCAGTCTTTCCTCAAAGCAGTACTGTAACATGAATGTATTTATCTCAGTCAGCAGAACTTAGATGCCCACTGTCTGTGGAGCCGATCGGAGCGCTCACTTGGCTTGGTTAGCAGTGTCTGCTCAGGTGAGACCTAGAGCAAAACAGCCAGGGCAAAATGGACCGCAGAGCTAGAGGTGTGTGTCAAGGCAGAGCCCTGTGAGGAAGGCAAAGTGTTCAGTGGCCGCATGGAACCTACCGCTGAGAGCATGGCCGCCCTCAGCGCGGTACGTAACATAAAGGAGAGGCTCTCACGTGGGAGCTCCTCCTGCATCCAGCCCATCCTTTCCTGCCTGCTCTCTTCCTCCAAGTGCCTCAACCTCTACATGCTCACTCTCCTCCCCTCAGCCACCTTGGTCTGAATGCCTTTCACAACCCAAACCAAACATCACCAGCCACCTGCTGATTGTCACCAGCATGTCCTTCTCTGAGTTACTTCTTCTCCATCTGTTAAGAACATGGCATTGTCCCCACTCCCTCTCAGTCCCCCCACCATCAGCTGCACTCCACCCTCACCCCTGACACCCTGCCAGGTGTTATACAGCATTGGGTGTGATCTCGTCTGCCCCATTCTCTACCTTCTCCCAGCTGCCAAAAGATCTCGCTCTCCTCTACCTCATCCCCAAAGAGCCTATAAATTCAGAGTATCCAACCTTTTCATGGATCCACTCTCTGTTCAGTAATACTATTTCCATATTTTAAATAAATCATAAAAGATTTTTGCCTTCTATCAAAGTAGGAATCTTTATATTTATACATGATACAGAAATTGAACTATTTCTACCATGCAGAATTTAGCATTTAGCAAGATTTTAAAGTGATTGATTGCCATCCTGAGTCAGGTCTATAGTATGTTAAAAAATACTGGTGTTAGTCCAAGTTATTTGAATGTAAGGTTAAAACTCTCCAGCAATCCAGATTGACCTGTAACCCTTTAGTGAAACAGGAAGTTGCTGGCTTACAAATGAGGTGGTGTTTCAGACCTATGATTTACCGGTATCATTGGGGTCTCGAAACACGTTCTTACGGACAGATGAATGACAAAGTGTTTTAGATTTCTCTGGCTGGATCGCAGATAATACTGATAAGATACCACAAAATTGGTTACATAGGGTTTGACCAGGTTTTCCTGTTCTAGACTAAACCTCTAACCCCCCACTCCTACCTTGTTCTTTTAGGGGGCAAAACCTCCTATGGGATGAAAAGGGAATGGATTGACTTTGTAGTCTTTATTCCCTTAGTTACACTTCAGGTATTGTCCCGACACTAGCTTTAAGAAGGGGAAACGCACAGAGGGAAGGCATGATGGGCCCTCCCTCCTCCAGCCAGCATGCACTTCCTGGTGGTCACAGATGTAAAACTGCGTCATGTCTAACATGGGACGTACTTACGTGGTTCAAGATGAGCCACCTTGTTTGAGAGCATAGATTATTATCTCTGGTGGTGTTTAGGTGTTTTCCATCTCATCCATGAACAATCCAACCTGTCAGCAGTATCTGATAAATGCTCTTAAGGACCCAAGAGTAAATCGATGGCCTAGTTAAGAAATGAGACTTATTAGAGACTGGAGAGACTTTTTTTTTTAAATCATTTGTCATGAAGTCTTCATTCTAGCTTTAACCTAATTATGGCTGCACCACCAGAAAAGAGAGACTTGGGAAAAAATATAGGGGGACAAAAGCATGAATATCTAATTCTTTAGAATCTTGTAGAAATCTTCAAAACAACGCAGGGCATACCATAAAATAGCCTTTAGAACAAATACCCTATTTTCTAGTTCCTAGGACAACATCAAACATTAATAAGTCTAAATATGATAAGTATAATTTTGGGTATGTAAATTTTGCTAAAGCAGTCTATTTTCTTGCACCCCTCTTACAAGTGAATGTATAATTTCTATAGAAAGAATATCAAAGAAGAAGAGAGACTCTGGTCTTTAGTATTAAAATATTGTTCCCAAATCCTAATTAGTTAAGTGTATACGTTATGATACTTAGGGAATAAAACTAATTATACAACGCTTTCCTAAATTAATCAGTCTTCACACCTTTTGATGTGGCTTTCCCAAGCCTGATAAGGAAGGATCAGAAGGTAGGGAAGTGAAATGTATCAGCTGGGTAGCCCAGAAGTTTCCTTTGTAATGTGGAGAGACGATTTTCCTCCTTGCCGAATGTTGCTGGTTCTCTAAAATAAGAGTTCAGTTCAGTGGTACCCTTGTTTGCCAAGGAAAGTGACTCAAGCTCGGCAGGTAGTGCAGGTACTGTCTTTGCATTCGTATGTCTCCTCTGGAGAGAGTATTCTCCCCTTCCTTCTTTCTCTTTCCATTTACTCTTTCAACTCAAGATTAGATAGGAAGCAAACCACGAGCCGGTTTGGCATCTTCTCGATGCTCACAGAACAGGCACTTCCGCATGCATGGTCGAAGCAAGGTTTAAAAATCAGAAACAAAAACCAAAACCCTGTCAGGTCAGCTTGGAACACTGCCTGCTCCTTGGATTAGCTCCTTCAAACCTGCAAGTAACTTTCCTGGTCATGGAAGAACTGGATGTATCCTTTAACTTACAAAAGAGGATTTGAACTTGAAAACCTTTTTTAAAATCCTGATTTTTGCAGGGCAGCTACAAAATGAATGTATATATTAAGACTCTGTAGCTGAATTGCACATGAAATCAGATTGCCAACTTCTTGACTTTCAATTTTAGACATCATGTTATCCTTACGTTGTGAGCGATATATGTAGCATGCTGTGAAACGTCTCTTATAGTTCCTTCATTCATCAGTATTAATACAGAATTTATCTTTCGCGTTCCTTGGTACTTTTCATTCAATGTAATCAGAAGCTGTGATGTTTTGCCTTTGTGGTCCTGTGCTTTGTTACTGTATTTTTTTGTTTTTTGGTTTTGTTTTTGTTTTTTTGTTTTTTTACAAAGCACGTGACTTTGGACTAATGTAAGGCAGATGGCGTGATCTTTAAGACCGATCTATCTAGCTAGCTACCTATGGGTAGATAGATCTGTCTCTTACTCTGTAAGGTTTTAAATTAGAATAAGCTTTTCTCAAATAGATCCTTGATGCAATTTAGGACTCACACAGATTTCAGTGTCGAATGGCAGTCTTATATTAATAGTTTCAATTCTGAAAATAGCAAACTTAATAAACAGCCACTTTAAACTTGTTCTGGCAAACCGACCCTGCTGTAGATACAGTCTAAGGTAGTTAACCACATAAGCCTTTTCAGCTCGTAACATGATGCAGCAGATAAGGAGATGATAGAGCCCATGGAAGCTTTTTGTATGTATAAGTAGGTTTTCTTTTTCTTATGTTGCTGATTTTACAGTTCTGACTAAAGCTGACCTGAATGGCTCAGTTTATGTGTAATATTCTAGTGTTTTAATGCCTTTGTGTGTGTGTGTGTGTGTGTGTGTGTGTGTGTGTGTGTGCGCGCGCGCGCGCGCGTGTGTTTTTTTTCTTTTTGAGGGATGGGTAATATTATTTGAACAGATGCAGAAGGAACTGTTAGTGAGTCAAGACAAACACATTCGAAATAAAGGAACTGTGTATTAACATGTTAACAACAATTCATAACTGCACTTTTTATGACATTTTGAAAATCTATTTATAGGTACAGAACAATGGGTTTTGTTAAACTGTATCAC